TTGTTCTTGTTACAATAAACATCCTCTTAGTTAAAAGCATTACATTTCCTGTAAAGTGTTTTAAAAGGGAAAACCATAGGCAATTTAAAGTTAATTAAGTTTGAGGAAAGAATGATTTGCAAATGCGGCGGTGCTCAGAACCTGAGCAGGTGTAAGCGCTCCAGCCTGCAGCGCTGTCAGACTGCACTATTGGACAGAAAACCAGAAGGGACGTTGAGTCAGCGCAGTGACCCCCAGTTCCCCAGTTGGCTTGATTTCAGTCAGTTGGCCGCCTGTGATTGGCTGATGCTCCGCGGCTGTGCCTGGCCAGGACTCTGCAGTTTGTTAAGAGCTGTGATCTTCTGGGTTAGTTTATGTTCCAACTCGGGCTACAGTTCCTCGTGGAAGGACTTAAGTAGGGAAGCATCCTCTGGCCAGATTTAAAGTTTCACAAGCCATGATGTCTGGGGTTATTTCTTTCATTCTAACTTGGCTCTGGGGTGAAAAGTAAATTACAGAGATCACCAAGGTGAGAAGAGGCCAAGGGATAAAAGTGTGAGGTTCTAGAACAGTCAAAGGATGGGTAGAGGAGGAGGAGGAGGCTGCCAAGGACCTTGTGAGACAGGAGTTATCTGAAGGGAAGCCAGGGGGAGTAGGAGGTAGGAGGTCCTCAGATGCCACAGAGAGGACCAGGATGGGGACAAGGAGGTCTGCTCTCCAGTTCACAAGCAGAATATGGCTTTCCTTGGAGGTCTTGCTTGCAACCAGGGAGCAGTGGGCTGACAATGTTCAGAGTGGAAGGAGAAAGAGGCCATGGCAGGAAAACCTTTGAAGATATTTGGGTGTGAAATACAAGAGACAGAGAGCAAGGATTATAGAAATGAGGGAAATGTGGGGTTGAAAGGGAGATTTCTAATACTATCATGCATCCACAATTCTAGCCTATAAAAGGTAATCGTGGGAATCATGACACAAGATGATAATCTATAGTTGATAGATCTTTCTTCACAGGCAAAACCAACAACTCTGGCTCATGAGCAAGAAAAGAGATGTTTTAGAAGAACCCCAGGTAGCCTACTGCAAAGGTCTTCGATCTGTGATTCTTTCCAAAGTGTGCTGCCTTGGATAGCTTTGAGGAAGGAATCTGTTTCTAGATTAATGTGGTCCTCATACTGATCTGCCTGATCATCCTGCCAGGGTTTCTTTCTCATCTTTTCTTTCATAAAAGCCTTTCTCTTATTAAAAAAAAGCATCTATTTTAACAGTTTTAACAGATTATAAAAATTTCTGGGGCTTCAGACAACCAGGAAATAACTGTAAATAACTGCTGTTGCAACATTTTCTAGGACCAAGGTACCCTATGGCAGGATCCCCCCACCACCTGGCTGTCATCCATCTAATAATGTGGAACATTTCCAAATTTCATATTTATATTTGACCTTTACTTGTCAAAATTACAATAATAATGCTGTTTTATTATTGGTAAATAATTGATCAATGATAATGTATAGGGATAACAAAATCCAGATTTCTTAACAGGTAGAGCATAATAATCAAAAGATATGGAATTAAATTTTTGTTCATAAATATTTTTATTATGAAAAAATATGATGGGATGATCAAAAAGGTACATATAGAAACCTATTACATTAGGATGAAAATCTGTGGTGGAAGTAGAATGGATACAGGACTTCTAGAAGGAAAAGGAATAGAATAAAAATTTTAAATTGTTTGTTCTTTTGTCCTTTCAATGGACAAGGGGAAGGTATCAAACTGCTATGGTATTTATTTACCAATGGATATATATTTAAAAGTAATGCAGCTTTTTTTTCCAATGAAAATATTTAAAGTAAGGAGAGAATGTGTAGCAGTGCAAATATTTAAACTTATGGTTAAGAACATGTATAGGGGAACTTTAATAGGTGCAAGAGAGTTCTTAGAGTTTGAATTATTTAGGACATAAGCAAAAAGTTTTGGCACAAGGAATCAAAGAGAAGAACAGGAAGGCAGAGGGTTCCTGCTGGGCTTTATGGCCTCTTGGGCATCACTATGGGGCACTTCCATCAGCACTGTTCAGTTCCTGTCCTCTTAGGTGGAAGACATTTGGCCCAAGAGCCTAATTCCATAGCAAGGAGCCTGGACCGTGCTCACTGCTCAGAGGTGGACAGGGACAGCATAACTGAAAGTTGTGCCAAGTGCCAAGATCACTTGAAAGATGGATGGTGCATTTCCCCCAAAGCAAACACAGTATAAATAGCAAAAAAAGGGAAAGAAGTAGGGGAGTCTGAAAAGAAGAGCAATGGCCTGCTGCCACCAAGTTCAGGAGGAAGCTACAGAGAAGCCAGGGAATCAGTGATTGGCTTGGGGTCTCAGGACTGTGAGATACTGAGTTCAAGTAGAAGGATCAGGCAGGTGGACCAACACAACACCCCTCTCTCTCTCTCTCTCTCTCTCTCTCTCTCTCTCTCTCTCTCTCTCTCTCTCTCTCTTTTAATGGCAGAAACAAGAAAGGAAGACTAAATGAGGATACTACAGAGTTTGCAAGTGGACTGAAAGATCCAGGGAGGAGGTCCAATGCATGGTTTCTGCTTTTCCTACCAGGTAGGGAAATAACCATTCACTCATGAGAGGGGTAGGAAAATCAGGAGTTAGGGCTTGCAGGAGATGGCATTTCTCAATTATTTTCTTGCGCTTTCAGAACTTTGTGTTTTTAACAGTCTGACACTCTTAGAAAATGACACAAGATTATCATCTATGTAACTATCTCCTCCAGTCTTTTCCGTCCCCCGACTCAGTTTACCCTCAGGTTCATACAGTCCTTTGCATACAACTCTTACAGTTCTAAACATATCTAAGTTTTGGAGAAAGTCTATTGCAGCTGAGTGGAGATGGAGGTGAATTCCAGTGAGACTATTCTTAACTACTATGACTCCCACAAATGTACCCTGGAGTTCTTTGATACAGGTCTCAAGCTTGCTTTGATCAGGACTTTCAGATGTGTCTGTTAAAGTGTATAGGGGGTAGTCTTAGTCCATATTGTCTTGCTGTAACATAAAACAACAGACCAGGTAATTTATAAACTACAGAGACTGCTTCCTTGCAATTCTGGAAGGAAGGCTGGCAAGTCCAAGATGGAGGGGGAGCATCCAGTAAGGGCCTTCTTGCTGCATGCTAACATGGCAGAAGGCATCACCTGGCAGATAGAGCAAGAGTGCCAGCTCCCTTTCTCCTTAAAAAAACCACTAGTGCCCATTGTGGGGGGTCCCCCCCTCACAACTTCATCTAATCCTAATGACCTCCCAAATGCTCCACCTCCAAATATCATCATTATATAAATTTTGATATTAAATTTTCAATACGTGAACTTTGGGGACATATTCAAGTCATAGCAGGAAATAAACTTAAATTCTCTTTGCAAGATGGTCTTCTCTGAACTCATGTTGTTGGGCCTTGAATGAGGAACTGAAATGCTTCCAATAAATGTTGTTTGTGGTCCCCTGACCTCTATCTTAATGAAAATTCACCTCTTTATCTCCCCAAACTCATACATGCTTACAGTCCTGGGTAGTCCAGTGTATAGTTTACCCTGAAAGGGTCCTTGTAGCTAAGGATAAAGGAAGTCATGATTCTAGGAACTCCAAAATGAACTGTGCAGTTAAAGAATGGTTATCCATCACCTTCTTTCTTTTTCCCTAATAAAATGGATGTTCTTTATAACTTCTAAATATGAAGAGTGCATTACTGATAAAGTCTTTTTAGGAATCCTAAGAGAAATGTCTTTTCTTTGAATTGACTTTGCAGTCAGCTTGGAATAAACAGGGTTTGAAGTTTATTGTTAGTTCTATAAAGTAATGTAGCAGTTAAGATCAACTCTTAGAATATATGAAATATTCCCATTTCCAAAATGATTTGGAGTATGGGGACAATCATTTTAAAACAACTACCTTAGTAGTTTCCTTTAGTGAAATCCACCAATAGGTTTAAAATATTCTATCAAGATTTAGAATAAAAATAACTTGAATACAGCTATTCCATATGGTAAGTGATAAAGGAATAGTATTCATAATGGCTTTTTTTTTTTTTTGGTAACAGCAAAAGGTTATATGTTCATAGAATACCGATTAAATAAATTCCCTGCATAATAGAATATTCTGCAGCCTTTAACAGAAGGCAGGGTGTTGACATGGAAAGATTCCCAAGGTATATTAATTTAAAATGAGGGTGAGGAAGTGTGAAGAATATACTATCATTTCTGCATGATATTCAAGTATATATACAAATATAGTTGCACATATATTTGTATATATACTTGAATATTTCTGAAAAGCTAAGCTGTAACAACACTGTTATAATAGCTTCCTGTAGAGACAGGAATGAGGAGGTTGCCCAGAAAGGGGGCTGATTTTTTATGTCTTAAATACATATATTATATACTAAAATTTTTTTTTTGCATAACAAACATCTTGCTTCCCCAATTAAAAAAAAATGTGTCTTTGGGGGCTGAGAGTACAGTTCAGTGGTAGAGCACTTACCTAGGATGCATAAGACCCTGGGTTTGATTCCTAGCACTAGGAATTAAAAAAAAAAAGTCTTTGTTATCAATTGTGGTATGGTAACAATGAAAATACATTTTTGTCAAGTTGACTAATTTCTACAAAATTCAGAGCTGGATTTTTTCACTTTTAAAGGAAGTCTTAGGTTCTGTTATCTTTTAACTGTGTAATATTGAGCCAGTCCACCACCAATGGGACCTCAGATTCTTCATTTGAAAATGATAGGCTTAGAGGTGATTTCCAGCAATCTCTTTCTAAGATGCTGTGATTATATGACTCAATGAATATTTGAAAAAAAAATACAATAAATCAACAAAGAGAATCCAGGTACATGTCAGATAGTGTGGAGATGTGGCTGAAGTAATAGTTTATAATTTTCACAATATATTTCATTTTTAACCACATTTCTTAATTTCCCCTTCATATATACCCCTTCATCTTTGAAATATCCCAAGAACAACAAAAGAAGAAGATTCAACTGAAGAAATTTATTTACTTTTTTTTTCTAGGTACATAGATGACATAATTATAGACAAGTTCTGATACATAGGAAAACCCTTCTGTCCACCTTTCTTTTTGCTAAATGAATCGTCACAATAATTTTTACAATTTTTAAAACAATACACAGCTTTCTTGGGCTGAAGCAATTGCAAGAACATATTGGTACTGGTATATTACAGCTACTTACAATGTTTAAGAACAGCAATGGAGAAAAATAAGTTATTTAAATATTGATTTCATATACAGAAAGTGCAATGTTGTTAGTTGCTATATAACTTGCTTGACAGTTTTCTCTATTAATTTAAAATCAAGATAACTTGGACTCAAGACGATTACTTTTTTTTAATGTAGTATGCACACGTAGCAGTGACTTGGGGGTTGATCTCTTTTGCTGCAGTTATAAAAGCAAACTTGGCTATGTCAGGAACTGATTTTTAACACGAGTAATTTCTAATTTCAACCACACCTGGGTTCAGGACAGAGAAAAGGGCCTCTGAGTAAAGGAAGCCCACAAAAAACGATTTGTTCTCGGTTATCTAGGAATGTAAATAGTATTTGGGAAACTGTATTTCCTTCCAGAAGCTGTGGCGTAAAAATTATACACAATATCACGTGTAGCTACCTGAGCTGAACTGCCTTTCCAGGTTTCTTTTGTGCTTTCCAAGGAAGACAACGATTTTCACCGTGACTCAAAATTCTGTACCAAATGCAACTGATTAAAACTGGATATTGCTAAAGCCTCCCACCTGTCCACTAACATCCACAGGCAGCCCCACACCACCTCAGTCAAATGTCACATACAAACATTCAGGCTTTTCTCAGACCAGATGAAAAGGTTAAAGAAAAAGCAGACCAAACAAACACGAAAGATATAAAAACAAAATTAAAAAAGAACTATAAATGTAAAAACAACCTCAGCCCCCCTTAGATCAGACGTTCACACTAAAAATTATTTGTGGTCCCTGAATTTAAGTTTTCATGCAAAGGCAATGACGTCCAAAGAGTGATAAAAATATGGTTTGGCATTCTCAACACCTCTGGTGCTAGTTTCAGTGAAAGTCCTGCACTGGGAGTGAACCAAAATTTGGAAATTCACATGACAGTCGCCCCCCCCCATACATCCTTTTTAAAATCTCTAACATGACTTTTGTGTGGTCTTTTTGCCCACATGAAATGATGAGAGCAAAATCTGTCAAAATGTGAAGCCGAGGTATTTCAAAAGTAAGAAGAAAAGCCCCACTTCTATCACAGCATGGAAAATTGTTTGAATGCTGTAGCTATCTGAGGACCCTGCAGCATCCCCCACATTCCAGATGGGCTAATCCACAGTCTGAGAGGACAAAAATGAGCTGTTCTTATGAGTTAATAGAAATTTGGCAGCTTTACCTTTTACATTTTACATTTCCACAACTTCTTCACATGGCCTCTTATAGGAGATGAATGTTATTAAAGAAACACACATGATTTTTTAAAAATGCATACTGAAAGCATGAAAAAAATATATCACCTGAGAATGTCCTTTTCCTCAGAGACATGGATCCAGATAGATAAAGCCTATGTTAAAGGTGGCTTTGTAGTTAATGACATCACTTTTCCTATTCCCCTGAGGGAAATAATTTGTTTTCGTTAAGTAGATGAAATATTACAGCACTTTTGATCCAAGTTTTGTGTTCAAAATGTTTCTTGTACACGTGATCACATTTGAGTCTTCAAAGAGTGCTCATGATAAGAACGTGAAGGAAAAAAAAATCATTGTGTAAGCAACAGAAGCCTTAATAGTCATCTAAATTTGCTGTTTGCTCGAAAATCTGACAGCAGACTAAAAGAGGATACGATATGCTGAAATCAGTTGAAAAACAACTGAAAACATGCAATGCTTAACATCATCTAGCTAATGTGGTTTGTCTGGCTCTCCAATGAACCTTTGTTTGAATTAGAAGAATTATCTAAATAAGAAGAACAGCGATATCTTAATTATAAAACTGAGAAGAAAACCTTTAAAAGCATCTCATAAACTACTTCCCTTTTTTAGAAACAACTTTCTGAAATATTCAACTTTATGGACTCTCTGCAAAGGTGATCCATGAACTGATGACTGAATTTTGGAATGGATGTTGTCAGGATTCCAAGTCAATACTGCAACAGAGTGACCAATGTGGCAGAATATGAAACTGATTAAAAGTAAAGGCAGCAGTTAACACACACACACACACACACACACACACACACACACACACTTGGGAATTTCAGACGGCTTTTTACTAAATCTGTGTGATTAGTTTAAAAGCCGAAACCCAACATGAAATGTCTGCCTGATAAACACCCCTACAAAGTAAGCCATGTTAAAATGAGACAATTAGAAAAGCCCATTTTTGCTGGAAACATCCCAGATATATTAGATGGCAGTCTAAGCTGAAGATTTGGAACTAGGGTTACAGGGTTGTGGACACTAGTTAGATAATGTTTAGAAGCTCATATTAAGGCAAATAAAAGCTGATTGCTAGGAAGCAATTATTTAAAAGTCTTTTGTTTATCTATAGGAGATAGGACTTTCTTTTTCCTGGTGCAGCCAGATGTTCTAACTTCTGAACAAATGAGCATGGTCAATAGTGTAGAGTAACAACTCCAGAGTCTGTTACTTTGGCCTAGCTAAGTCTGTCTAGCTTGGGCACCCACTGGACCAGAAATGGGTCAGGCTGTCCTGCCCTTTCCACCCAGCCCTCTGACAATTCACAAAGACAGACTGGAGGCACGGTGTTTGTAGCTAGTTAGCATCTTGGCTCTTCTGTGTTCTGAAAATAAGTGCTGGTCTTGCCTTTGGGGGTCAAAGAGAACTGCACCAATTTCCTTCAGGGGGCTTTTCTGGAGAAGGTCCTCGTCCTGTGCCTGGGTTTCACACTCTGTAGGCCACGCTCGGGGCCCTTCTTCTGGCTCTGGCTGCCCTGCCAGAGATTGAGGAATTGCATCAGCTTCGTAAGCACAGTGAAAGGCTGGCTCTTGTCCAGGGAGGTCCATCGTGAGCCTGGCTTGGGCCTGGCTACATGGCTTCGGGGCTTGGTGGCAGTTTGAAGAGTCTGGCTGCAGATACAAGCTTCCTTATGTGTCGCTCCTCTGTGATGCCGGCCTCCTGAAGGCAAGAGTGGGACAGAGAAGGCACTTGGCTCAGTGTGCTGAACCCCGCATCAGAGAGGGTGCTGGTGTACATGGGCAGGCCAATGGAAATGAGCCAGTCGGACACAGAGGCAACGCACCCAGGAGACAGGGGCTTTCTACAGATTTCCGTGAGGCCACCACTTGGGATCTGAATTAAAAAAAAAAAAAAAAAAAGTGTTACAAAGACTCTACATGTGCCAAAGGAGGTCCACTTCTTTTATTTCTAAAAGGGATGGTACTGAAGTACATCATTGCCAGATTATTAGCAAATGATAGTGTTATATTAAAATTAAGATCAGCACAAAGAATTCGTCTTGAAGATGAAACAGATGTTGAAGAAAGTGTTCTAGAAGGTTCTAGAAGGTATCTGGAATTAAATCCCAGTTAGTGTTCAAGTCTCCAAGCATTTATAGATCCTATTTTGCCTCTCTGTGCTATGTTCTTCCCTCAGGTGATTTGCAGGGAAAAACCTGGGTGAATGTAAAGGTTTTCATAAAGTGGATTTTCTACTATATTCTGAATTTGAATTATCAAACAGAAAATTAAGTATTTGATTAATATAGTTAAAAAGAACTTAGAAATACGATCATATCAAGTGTTGGCCAGGACAGGGAAATGGACATTTAAATTTGACTACTAGGTTCATATGCAGATATATATCTTTCCTAAAATCATGGAGATTTTGTACAATCTTGATTAAGCAAAGAATATAACCTCAGAGGTTACTCTGGAAGTCTATAAGGACTTATAACAAGGATGTTCTATACTATGTTATTTAAACTAAACAACTGGAAAAAAAATTTAAATTTTCAACAATATGCAATTGGCTATGTTAAGAAATAATCATCTAATGGAACATGTTGATATACTGATTATAAAAACAATTTTGTAACAGTAAAATAGATTTATGATCTGATAACTGAAAACAATAACGTTTACTATTATGCATGCACACAGAAATGTAAATTGTAATTTGAGCAGTGAAAAACCGGAGACACTTAAGGTATACAATACGAAGCTTTGATGAAGAGACCTGTCGCCGAATGGTTAAATTAAGCTTTTTAACTTAGGTATCACCTCACATAGGTAGCACTTTTCTTGTGAGATCACTTGAAATCTGCTATCTTAGTAATTTTCCAGTATATAATATATGGTTATTAACTCTAGTCCTATGTGGTACAAAAGAGCTCTTTGACATTATTCTTCCTAACTAAAATATTGAGTCTATTAGAGGGATTTTTTAAAAAAGGTTTTCATAGAGCTGAGATTATTGATCATTTTCTTTCTAAAATTGTATCTTGAAAAATTTCTAGCCACTGGGGTACAGCTCAGTGCGGAGCACTCCTAGCAAGCATGAGGCCCTGGGCTTGACCCCAGCACCCCACCTCCGAATTCCAGGCTGACTCTGTGTTACTATCTCCCAGCTGTCTCCTTTCCAGGGCTATGCCAAGCCCTTGTCCATGAAGCACTCATCAACGCCCGACATCAGCACTGTTACTAATTGCAGGGCAGAAAGTGGGGGAGGGACCTTGAAGCATGAGCTGCTCACCGCCATGCGATGCTGCTTCCGAAGTAACTTCACACGGATCTGGTCCAAGTTGGTGGCGATGTCCCTCTCTGGCTGATCTAGGTCCTCTGCATATCTTTGCACCAGAGCTTCTGGAATCCCACAGCGGCCATGCTGCCGGGGAGAACAAAAATGGAGCATGAAGGGTGGTACAGGTTTTTTTAATCCTTTTTTCTAAGATAAATTAAACATAAAGTAGGATAAGAAAATTAGCTTCTGGGAAATAACTCCAAAAATTTTAATATGAAGTAAATATATGTTCTTTATCACTGGGATGGATGCTTTTGAGAAAATATATTTTCATCTTCCAGATAATGGTGAGTTCTAGAAAAACGTTTTGAAATATGAGGCAGAACATGAGCATCCTATAGTTTTCAGGCTAATGCCTTCACACCACTTTATCTGACCATTTTGCAAGTTCAGGTTCCTCCAATGTTGCTGAATATAGTCTCCTAAACTGCAGAAAAATGAATTTCTCTTCTAGATATTCTACTCTTTGCCCTTCATCTGTTACAAGTTATACCACTGCATTCACCACATTCACTGTTGAATTCTCCCTTCAAAGGGGTTTACTCATGAAAGGTTATAGAAAAGTTATTGAAAGGCATCCATGGCCATGAGAATTTTGTAATAAGAATGTTCATAACATGCATTTCCAGGAGAAATATAGAGACACCCCTATTATTGATTTGTCTTCAACTTCAATTTGGTACTGGTGGATCTTTTTTCTTCTTCAAATGAGAAATGATTTTTTCATTATAGAACTAAATATTTTGAGTGTAATTTTTGAAATATTTTTTTCCTTCCACAATCTACAGATTATTATTCATTGTAATTGGTATGTTATATCTGAACAGGGCTCTAAAATTTCCAAAGTATATTCCCATTTACTGTTATTTGCTCCCAGTGATCCATCAAAGAGGTAGTTAGCCCCAGCTGACCTGTATGGAAATAAAGTGGGGAGGTGTTCATGTCAAGTAGATACCAACACTTGGACTTGATCTTTTGTCCACAAAATGATCCTTATCACAAACCACTTCTGGCACTGCTCATTCTCCCTGCAAAGCAAAACTGCCCCAAACTAAAGACTAACAAGCAAGAGCAAAAGTAGATTGCACGGTTGCATTTGCATTTTATCTGGAGATGGTGCTCCCTGTCCACCAGGGGTCTCTAGTGGGGCAGGTCATCCAGCACCCTCAGAACACCAGGCTCCTGGGGCTGGCCTCCATCTCACCTGGCTGCCTGAAAAGACAAAAATTGCAGCCAGTGCCCATTGGGCTGCGCCTGAAGTACCTTGTCGGAGTAGGGCTCCTCCGTGAGGTCGATGCCCTCGGCGTGCAGCTTGCTTTCCGTGAGCATCTCCAGATCCACACCCCGGGCGCAGGACACCTTTCTGCTCAGCGGGACGCCCAGCCTCACGCCATGCTCCTGCAGGCTGGCGCTCTCGGGCAGCTCTGAGAGCCAGGGCGGTGGCCTGGTGCAGGAGGGGCTGCCAGGCTCCAGGCCCGAGGGTGATCGGGCGGCCGGTACTGGGCAATCAGAGGGGCCAGTCTTCTTTATGGGCAGGCTCGGGGCATCAGGGCTGGGAGGGGTTCCGCCAGGGGCCCCGGGCACCAGGTGGAGGCCATTGGCAAGACGTTCTCTGCTCTTTTTGGCAGGAACAGGTGGAGGCTGTGGAGTTTTGGGCTGTGTCCTTGTTTCAGGGACCCTCTGCTCAGCATCTGCCCCTTCTTTGGTGCCCGGGGGATGGTATGTTCCTTCAAAATCATGTCCTTTTCTGTGAGCCTCGAGAGACGTCCTTGTTAAACTGTGTTTGGCTCCAGGAAGCCGAGTCTCAGAGTTTCTGGGCAGACACTGAGGAGGTGATACGCCTCGGTCGGTGGTTGCCATGGGGACATCGGGTTTCCTGGTGGTCATTTTCTGGGGTTCAGAAAATCTCTTGCTTTGGGTCAGTAGCAATGCATGGTCGGCAGTGGCATCTCGCCCAGGGGCCTGGACCTTGGCGGTCGAGGCGGTTGTCTTTTGTGGCACTTGGGGTACAATCTGAGGGGAGGGTTCTGTCACCTCAGTAGGCACATCTTTTTCAGCATCAGGCTCTCCTTGAAGGTCATCCAGGGAATGGGATCGAGGCCAGGTTCCCACTGTCTGGGGGTCCTCCAGGGTCTCACAGCTCCGACAGATGGACACTGGGAGGCTTCTCCGGTTCTTGGTCAAACTAGTTACTGAGGGCGGGTCACAGTGCTTGGAAGCATCGGGGGTGAGACCGCAGCCCAGCCTGCCCTCCTCTCCCTGCTTCGCCGCGTCCACCGACTTCATTAAAGGCAACGTCGGGTAGTTGCCCAGCTGATTTCTGTTGAAAGACTTCAGGCTGGCCTCGGTGGACGACTTGGCAGATAAGAGGCCAGTTTTCTGAGTCTTGCCTGTGAGACAATCACATGTGAAAGCCAGTCAGTCAGTCAGACCCATGCATTCAGATGTGCAGGCACAACTGCTGTCTCCAGTCCCCACATCCCCTTGCTGGGTTACACTAAAGACACAAAGCCATCATTCAGGACTCTGAGTGGAGTAGGGTCCCAGTTTTTATTTTTAGAAAGAACTAACAAAAGGACTCACATGGGGACTGAAATGCATGGGTTATATGGAAAAGAAACACTGTGTCAGGCAATGAAAGAAAGTGGGGCTTCATGTCCGCTCTTAGCTGACTCCGAAGAAGGCTGACATCCCTACCCACTCTAGAAACCACACCCCTGAGATGTCTGCTGGGTGAGGACATGTCCAAAAAGTCATGGGTGAAATGGGGAGGTGGACTGGTTCCTGGGAAGTTTCTATAAACGGTCCCTCTGAAAGGGTGATCCACAAATCCTCACATCACACCCTTCTTGAAGCTGTGCCCTGCTAACAAATTTATCCAGAAACAACCAGTCCACTTTGATTCAGTCCAGGAAATAAACTGAAGTGAGTACTTTACCAGAGACCATCTGTAAATACTTGTATGGTTGTAGGTCCCAGTAAAGAAATGGCTTTGGCAGATCATGGCTTGTCAGACTGATCACTGAATTATCAACCATAAACAATCTACTTTACTGGCTGACTGATGATTGATATTAACTGCTGCCACTTGAAAAGCTTTATCAAAAGCATGCCATGGGCCAAGCACTGTGCTAAACCTACAGACAGCCAATGCACACAGGCAGAAATGAACCATCCTTTGTTATGTCTTTGGTTAGTAACATGTTTGTTGTCTGCTATGACAATGGACTGATGCCCGAGGAGACCACCCTGATAATGGACTATATGACCCCTGTGATCCTATTATTGTGGGCCTATAGATAAAAATGAAAAGTCCTAGCCAGGTGTGGTGACGCACACCTATAATTCCAGTGGCCTGGGAGGCTGGGACAAGAGGATTACAAATTCAGCGAGGTGCTAAACAACTCAGACCCTGTCTCTAAATAAAATACAAAATAGGGCTGGGGATATGGCTCAGAGGTTGGGTGCTGCTGAGTTCAATTCCTGGTAACTCCATCGCCCCCAAAAAGAAAAATCCTAAAACCATATCAGGTTTGGAATATCTGAAGAAATGGCTGGCTCTGATCTTTGGAAAGCCCCTATGTTGTAAGTCAGGGTTTCTTCCTACTACATGGTTTTGAGTAATATTTTAAATGTTTTAATTTTAAGCCAGGCATGGTGACATATGCCTATAATCTCAGCGCTCAGGTGGCTGAGGCAAGAGGATTGCAAGTTCAAAGCCAGCATCAGCAAAAGCGAGGTGCTAAGCAACTCAATAAGACCCTGTATGTAAATAAAATATAAAACAGGACTGGGCAAGAAAAACCCCAATTTTTAATCTATGATCTTGCCATCTCCTCATGGAGCAATCTCACCCTCCCAACACATTTAGTGGCAATGAGTAATCAGGCCGTGGGCTGATTTGACTGGGAGGGGAGAGGAAGGGTTGGTTGGTGCTCACCCAAAAAAGGAAATGGCTACTTTGGGGTACATGAAAGACATTCTTTTTTTGGGAAAAAAAAAAATCTCTATCTGTATGCTGCATAGATGAGGAAAGGAAGAGAAGTAAAAGGCCAGGGCTCTGGTGTTACAAGTGGCTTGGCCTTTAGTAGCAGGAGGAGAAAAGATTCCTTCCATAATTTCAAAGTTTCCACCATGCTCATTCTAATTTCAAACTGCTGATATGAAATGTGTCACATCAAGTATAATTGCACACATTAAGATGGATGGAGAAGAACAGTGGCCTCAATCAGACATTTTATTAACGACCCCATCCTTGTTGATAAGACACAGATCGATACATGGAATATTTTGCACTAGGCAAAGCAGAGACATGGTCAAATTGGCATTTGTCCTTCCTCGAGTGTAATTAAATGAGGCTTCAAACCCCGTCCACCTGTATGTTCTGCGCTGATAAATAACAACACGCTAGCCATTTATTTGTAGGTTATTATTTTGTTGTCACATAGAGATCATTAGCTGAGGTTTAGTCCTGAATATATTAACCGTGGTCCCATTTTTCATTAACAGAATAATCATCACAGACAAATGGAAAATTCCCTCTTCAGAAAACACATCACATTAAAGTTTAAAAATCAGTTAAAACAGAAACTTAAAACTCCACTTGCGTTAATTTTGGAAATACGTTTTTTCCTTTACCCTAACTTCTATATAAATCCCATTAGATTGGAAAGATCCTTGAATTCACCTTGAGTTCAAAGTTGGTTCATCAGTTTCTTTCATCTAGTTCTTCAGTGGATGAACCTGAATTCTTTGGGGCATGAACATTTCTGCTAGTGATACCTATGAAATCTTTACCCAGTCAGAAAAGTTGCAATTAATTTACTGAAAATTTTTGGCTATGGAAAGATTGTTAACAATAACAACAACAAAACCTTCTGGGTCTTACAAAGAATGTGATGTTTTCTGCAACAGAGGATGGCTGGTGCTCCGTGGAGTGGGGATGGGTTCCTTGATGAAGGCTGAATATTAGGGTACATAGAGATTCACTATCTTCCCAGATTGACAGAATTCCCTGAGTAGGAGCTTTAAAGGACAAATTTTGAAGTCCTCAAGGTAGTCTAAGACTTGGCATCAGGGTGACGCAAACAAGGCGCCCAGGATGCCATGCTAAGGAGTGAACATTCTGAGACAGGCAACTGTAGGCTGGTACTGGGGAGTGAGCAGCTCATCGGTTTGACCCCTGAGCACCTACTTGCCTCACTTTAGTCCTGATTTTGGTGCCTACAATGGCTGTCACTATTTTTTACCATGATCCGTAGTAAGAACCACACTTTACATGCACCATCCAACACACATGCACACATAATACTAAAACACAAAGAGTACCCGTCACAACACTCACAGTACTTACTAGTGTACTTCTGGAATGCATAACGTACCTTATGGAGTGCATTCTGGTATTTTCTACTCTATTTTGTCTTATACAACTGCTACACACGACTCACTAATTGACCTTAGAACCCAGTAATGAACTGCAACCTGTAGTTTCCAAAACTTTGCTTTAGCAGGTCCCTCCTAACCCATGGACTACTGGGAGGCATTCCAGTAGCAGCTAAAAACCATCAAACCTGGGCATTTTTCACGATGGTCTTCAGTAGGTCACGATGGCAGTGTGAATCCTTCACTACTATTTCTTGCACCAACAGGAATTTGGGGGTCACAACAAGAAACCACAGAACCTCTCATGGTGACATTCGCTGACCTGACCCCATTCTAACTAAAGACTCTGCTTCTGTTTGAAACTTCATACTGACTGCTCCCTGAGTGTTAGGGACACCACAAAAAAGACATGTAGCCTTCCTGTCATCCTCTTCCATGGTAACTGCTTCTGGACTGGACTCAGGCCGAGCAGCTGGAGTGTTTAAGAGGTGGCTGCTGGTGTGACCCTGATGTCTACCTGGTACACAGTTTTCCTTGTGGAAAAGTGTTCTTAATACTCACATGTCGGTTGTTGTTACGTAAGGGCTTAGGAGACACATGTTTTAGGTTTTACAGCTGCAGGTATTTTAGGTGAAATTCATAAACCTCTTACAGCAGCCAGAGGAAGACACGCAGAGGCCAACTGCAGACTAGCACGGGGAAGTGGATGGAAATGGAAAGTCGATTTCTAGGTTCATCTGGGTAAAAGAGTCCATCTTTTGGGACTGGGGTCATAGCTCAGTGGTAGAGCACTTGCCTAGCATGTGCGAGACACTGGGTTGGATCCTCAGCACCACATAAAAATAAATAAACAAGATAAAGTTATTGTGTCCATCTACAACTAAAATATTAAAACAGAAAAAAGAATTCATCTTTTGGAGACCATTCTACTTTTGAAATTGGAAACTTTCAAAACAGGTTCCTAGAGGTCTAGGTGGACGTTACCATGTTCCAGATTCTCGCTGCTCTCGTAGCAGCCCGAGTCTCGCGGGGAGCATCCACTCAGGCCCTGGCTGTCCATAAGCAGCTTCTCCTGGGACCCCGACTGGTCACTGTTACCTGGAGAAGGCAAACACATGACAAAGAATCACAAGGGGTGCAAACAGCAGAGGTCCCGATGTCAGGTCCCAGCTTTATCCTGTCACTGCCACGTGATTTTAAGCCTTAGACTTTAGAAGGGGGCAAATTATTTTAAGATACAAATGAATACATTTTTTCTCAAATAAAATATCAATTGCATGAAGACAAACCAGAGCAGGACTTTCGCAGTGCCTTTCGGGCTACCAAACAGAGGTAGACCCAAGGCCCTCGGGGGAGGGGAGCTGCAGGGTGTGGTACTGGTGTGGGGGGAGCACTCCTGGTCCCCTCCAAGTGATGGCACCACTGGGGAAGAGCCGAGTGAAGGTGGGATTTGGACATGACCTTTTTAGAGACCCGTAAGGCAGGTACTTCAGGTTACTGACATTACCACCTCTCTGAATTTGGGGCCTATATAAAATTGTCAAATGAAATATCACTTTCTATTATTAGCGTCCAGGAGCACTCTTAGCCCTTGGTGACATGTGCTGGCTCTTGTATGATCTCATGAAGATGAAGGTTGGCCAGAGCGGGCAGAGACCCCTCAACTGAGAAAGCTGTTTTGTTTTTGCTGCTTGGGATGAACTAGAGGGTTTCTTTTCTGTTTGGCCTTCTCCTTTGTCTGGGACCAGCATTTTCACTTTCTGGTCACAAAACAGAGATGCGGAACACTCAGGAAACCCTCGGATGTGGAAAGTGAGCGGAAGATGCTCTTCAGGTAGACAAGTGCAAGTTAAGCATCCTTGTTCTGAGGAACCCTTTTAAAGAGAAGCATCATTATTTGTCAATTAGACCTCAGTAAGCCTGGGGCGAGAGGCAAGAGGGGTGGGAGGCAAAGGAAGCATCAGCCGTCTCTGCTTAGGGACCTGTCGAGAGTAATTCCCATGGGAAATCACATGGGCGCCCAGCTCCCCAGTGGCATTACTGTGCACCTCCTGGAGAGGGCCCACGGAGCCTTATGTGGGACACTGAGGTTACAGCAGAGCATCATTGTAGCATGATGCGCAGTGTGTGCTCAGTCCCATAAAACAGAAGCCAAGAAAACATGTTCTACCTAAAATAGCTAGTTGCAATGACAAATGGCTTTAATTTATTTTCCTTTCTCTTCACCTCCCGCCCTCCTACCCCAACCACATACACAAAGAGAAATCAATAAGCCAGAAATATGATGCCTTTTCTCAGGTCATCAAAATAAAAATGCGGGGAGGCAGAGGGCTGCCATTCCACACATGTGCCAGCGGTTCCTACTGTCCCCTCGCCACTTTCTGCTTGCATTTCTCACAGGGAAAGCTTCTTAGATTAGAACCCCAAGTTAACAGTGCTAATAGTTAAATGATTAATGAAAAAATTAACAAGTTAGAAGCTCATGAAAATACTGACCCCCTCCCACACCCAAAGTCAGGACATTCTGGAGTGATGTCCTCATCACGTGGAATAGCCTGTGGATTTGGAGTGGCCTTTGTTCCAGCCTAGCATGTTATTTAGAAAAATGATACTTGTAAAATGATGGTTTTGAGCTCTCTGCTGCAATGCAGGGAGAGGAATGGGTGTCATCTGTCTCTGGTGGCAACAGTTCAGTGTACCACAGTGGCCAAAGCAGACTCCAGAGTGCTGACCAATGGAAATAAAACAGAAAACATGTTCCCTGCCATTGCATGGGGATGCATGCTGGCTCTGCATTCCGGGGATCCCTGCCTCAGCAGACATATGAGGCTACTTGGAGTTATTGCACAGAGGACAAGGATCCCTCCCCACACCTGAAACCATAGTCCAGGTTATAAAAGCCTGAGGCATACGGCCAGGGGCTAGAGTCACTGTCTTCCTCAGGGAGAAAAAGAACTGGATGGCTCTTCCATGCCCTGCAGAATCACACCCTTAATCTTCTCCCTCACTAACCAGCATTCATGCTGAAGTCCAAAAAATGAGAAAGATGAGCTGGAACCCTGCAAATTCTCACCGTCAAATCAGAGCAAGGGGCTGAAACCCTCTTTGGGTATGACCTGAAACTGGACCTGACGGGACTCTCCTTGGGTGAAAGTTCTCCCCACCTGAAACCAAATGTGCACATACATGCATGCACATGTACATACACCTCTGCAAGAACATGCTAAGGCACTTATGAAATCTTCAAATGTCAAGGGTGGTGGGCCACAGGGCATGCATAGTTGTTTGGAGAGCTGATAACTAGAGAAGGGAAAAGAAGAGAAATGGGATTCTTGGGTAAGGAGCAGTTTCAATGGACTTGTAGCATTATTTCTTAAGAAAATAAGGATTGAGGCAATATAGCAAAGTGTTACTTTTAGGTGAATTCAGGAAGTGCATGTGTATATATCTGTTTAACTTTTCTCTATACTGCATACTTGAAATAATTCCTAATTAAAATTCTTATGAAAATTATTGTTTTATTGAGCTATACACTTAAAAATGGTTGATGATAACCTTTATGCAGTATGTGTACTTTACCATAATTTAAAACTTTTTAAAAATTTAAGGGAGCTTTACCAGACACAAGAGAGTGTAAGGCAATTAGAGTCTTTCCCAAATGGAACACCATCTGAAGGCTGCCCTTCTGTATGCACTGGAAGACTCTGGACAGCTTTGATTTTCAAGCAGTGCTGAAGTTGTACTGATTGCTCTCGATAGAAGGCTGAGCTGGAAAACTTTCAAGATCCCTATGCATCTTCAAAGATCTCAATATCTTTATCTCTCTAGAGCACAAGAATTTAGTTTGAAAGAAACCTATTATCATGTTCCTGTAAGTTATCAGTTACTTAGAAGGGATATTTCTTAAACATGATGAATTTAACTGCGTTGGAAGTAAAGTCCTGTAACCCCAGGATAAGCCTGAACCCAGCCTCTTGGCATTAATTGGTACCTCTGATCTCTCAGAGCCTTTGGTTCAGAACCAATAAAAGGAAATTCTACTATATGGTATGAGGGAAATTCCCAAACAACAAAACAACCTTGGTACAAATCTCAAGATCTGATTTTAGCTGGGCACAGTGGCACATGCCTGTAATCCCAGCAACTCAGGAGGCTGAGGCAGGAGGATTGCAAGTTCAAGACCAGCCTTAGCAATTTAGCAAGGTCCTAAGCAACTTAGTGAGACCCCATCTCAAAAATAAAAAGTAAAAAGGGCTGGTGACTCAGTGCTTAAGTCCCCCCTGGGTTCAGTTCCCAGTAACCACCCTCCCACTCCCCCCACAAAAAAAATCCTAGAACAATGAGTCTGAGCCAATGTGATATGAAAGAAACCAAGCACAGATCCCTGCCTTATACTCAGGATTTAGGGATACAGGAAGTGTAATAAATAGTATCCATAAACCAGCTGTTCTTCATGGACAAGGAAGAGCAAATGAGCTAAGTTATGGAGCAGATGGGGTTTAGGAAAACAGATGGTTTAATATTAACTCCTATTAATATAGCCGGTTGACTATACCAGTCACTGTCCCAGACCTGGCACACAACCTGGCCATCCACGCCAGGGTGTCTCCCACTCAAATACTATCAGAGACCTGGTTATATATTAATATTAAATATAAAATGTAATTTTCTACAAATCTATCCCTGAAGGCTGCTTATTTATTGAGGGTTTGGATGTCTATGCTCCTCTGTGCTATCAGTTAATTTAGAGTGAGCATCTTTTAAAGTGAAGTGAATTAAAATGCACTGACACACTTGCTTCCATGTCTCCTGGGTCTGATACCTCCTCAGCTGACCATGGGATTCCAGAACCCCACTGTGAGTTGAAAATACCATAAGCTGAGAATGGATTGAGAATACTGAACCTGGCGAACCTCCCAGCTTAGCAACGCGGGACACGGCCGTGTTGGTTGTTCACCCTCCTGATTGTGGGGCCTACTGGGTGTTGCAGGTTACTCCATTGCCCCACATCCTAACAGTATCAGACTGTAGATCAGTAGTCTGAGAAAACATCAGGATTCCAACTTTGAAGCACGGTTTCTACTGAATGGATATTACTTTTACATCCTCAGTTGGGGCCATCTGTAACATATAATTTCTTTTTCCACCATTAACCATAGTTTTGGTGTGTCTTTTAGCAATAGAAATGCTATTAGCTACTAATATTCCTGAAGCAGAGCCCTTGAAAGAAAATGTATTTGAATTCAATAACGGTAAAGGTTGCTCCCTGGGTGATGAATAATTTCAGGAATGTTTTTGATGTCAGACTGAAGAATAAAGAGCAAGATAAGATGAGGCTAATGGAGCAGGGGATCTGACGCATTCAGATAGACTCCATAAAAGCCACACGCTCACTGAATCCTGTTCACAGGCTGTTAAAATAAGCTGTCATTTATTTAAGTTGGGAATGCTCACACTACGTATTCACTTCAGACAGACATTGCCTCCTTCTTTAATGGAAACTGATGAATTTTACTTAGGCACTAACCAATCTATTCAATAAGAAAGCCATTTGTCACATGCTTTGAGAAATAATCGACCCTTAGCTCAGCAAGAAACTTCCAGTTGGCCAGACATTTTTGTACCCAGGGATCCTAATTACCTACTGAAGTCTGCACAGCACAACGGTACGGAAGGTGGAGACTACTGGTTTCTTAGAACTGCAAGTTCATTTTCCTAGACACTAGATATAGCACTGTCCTCAAATGTTCCTCAGAAATATGCCAGGGAAGGTATCATGGGTATATTAAGGTTTATTTATTTATTTATCCATTTGGGTATCAGGGAATGAACTCTGGGGCACTCGACCATTGAGCCACAAGGTTTTAGAGACAGGGTCTCACTGAGTCACTTAATGCCTTGCTATTGCTGAGGCTGGCTTTGAACTCATGATCCCCCCATCTCAGCCTCCCAAGTCGCTGGGATTGCAGGCATGTGCTACCGTGCCTGGCTTATATTGAGTTTTATCATGGGAATATCTGCCCTAGGGAATTGATGTCTTGGAGCTGCTTTGCACAATATGAAATCAACCTTGGCTCTGGAAAGATCAAGACCCATGCGTGACTTCAGGGATACCGAGAGCTTATGGAAGGTCTGCAGGGGACCAAAGATTGTGGCCGACCTACCAATGGCCACTTCAGTGTCTGGAGAGACTTACTGTCATATTCCTGCAATAGTTCCACGGCTGTCAAGAGGACAGCTCTGTGTTCTGGGTCCCTGATATTTAATTCATCCAAGTCTTCTTCCTCTAGGAGCTTGAAGGTATCCAAATCTTCATAGCCATTGAACAGGAAAGTGGGCATGTGCTCCTGTGTGACAGAAGGACCAAGGTGAGTCACAGCTCTGCCGCGTGATGCAGGACAACAACTAGCCTCAGACCCCTCAGCTCTTTTCCCATAGTCATTTTTTTATGCTAATCAAAAGAGTGATATCATCTGTAATGTACTGTGCCTGCCGGTTCTTCAGCTTAGTAGGCAGGCGGGATGTTTTCTTAATCATGGGCTAAGATGTACACAGCCGAGGAGGATGAATTCCACTTATTGGCATTATAATTGTGCCCTTGAAATAAACTAATTCCTTTATCACCAACCCACAGTGGAAAAGCCTCCTCCTTCATTTACAGAGATATGAGATCTAATTTAGTGAGCCCCAGGAATTTCTCAGGAGTAAGAAGGTTTGCAAGGAAGAAAAAGTCTCCGCTGCAGAGCCCTCCTCCTAGATGCTGGGAGAATCATGGGAGGGGAGTTGCCTCCCGGCCCCAGGGAGCTGGCTGTGAGCAGGGCACCTAGGTTTTGGCTTACAGCACTTCCAGTAGCAAAAGTTTGATCTGGGACTTATGCTGTCACCCCAGCAGAGGTCAAGGGCAACATTTGAATACTGTCAGTGCCTTCTGTGAATGGGTACTTATCCTATTAATGGGTGACCCTTGTGGGACAATGTAGACCACCTGAAAGTACTCTTTCCTTTATCTGGGAGAAGGAAAAGGCAAGGTGGAGACATGCTACCAGAACTGACTGACCTTTAGGTTGATCCGGTCCAGCAGATCCTCCACCGACTTGGGCTGGGGCGGTCTGCCTTTTCTCCTCCTCCTGGTGGGGCGCTTGGGCTTTTCCTCTTCCTCATTGAGAACATCCACGTAGATGAACTTGAATGTGCCGACTTTGTTGTTCAACAGGCCCATCCAGGTACCCATGGGTGGCTTGCTGATGATATCAATGATATCCCCCTTCTGTGGCCCAGGGAACAAAGATCTTTCCATTAGGAACATTCCTAAGCATGGATCGTGAATCAGTCAGACCTGCCAGTCTTGCAGGTGGGAAAAGACTATGAGGGCAGAACCAGGTCCCCCGGGTCACCTTTCTAAGCACGGAACACAGAATGACTGGAAGTTTCCAAGAGGCCAGTCGGAGCACTTGGATGACACATGGGCCCCACCTCCCAGCCCTGCCTCCCTACTGCACTGCAGGCCAGCAGGGCCTGGGCTGTCTCCTGGTGCCCTCAGCCAGGCAGCCCTTGGCCCTCAGCTCTCTGAATACCCTCCCATTACCCGCAGGGCTCCTGCTTCTTGGAGAAAGAATCTCCTACCAGTCCTAAGCCAGTGGCCATCCTTGCCCTGTAATCACTTCATACAGTTCGTGGAACTCCACCTTTACATCCCACATAAATATCTCTATTTCCACAAGGCAAGCAGTAATCCGTCTTCAGATGGAAAAGCATAGAAAACCAGGGCCTGGGGGAGCCATTAGCATTCTAGAGGGCAGCTGGGGACAGGGGACAGAGGACAGGGGCCGGGTAGCAGGTGGGGATAACAGAGTGACTGACACAAGACCCTCTCTGCCTCGATTGCAGGCTGGTTCTCGTGTCATTTCACTACACAGGTGCCCGGGACACCAAGGTGGCCAAGACATCCTCTGGTCTGCACAGCAACATCCCAGGGGTCAGAGGTATGGAGAAGAGAAAGCTCTTCAACGAGTCAGAAGGGCCTGGGCTAGCTGCCCTGTGCCCAGGGAGAGGCCCACCTTGAGCTTGAGTGAATCTGTGTCATAGGGACTGGGGGTGAAGTCAGTGTGCACCCGGGCGCGCCCACAGAAGGGGCCCCGGTAGGGTGGCTCCTCATCATCCCCATCTTCCGACTTGACGCTCTCCCTGTTGCTGGTGGAGGAATCGGTGGTGCTGACTGTTTGGCCACCTGGGCAGGAAGAACAGGAAGAGGGAGGGTGAATCCAGATCCCCACGAAGTGAAGCTGAAAGGTCCTCAAGGCTTTGCAGATGCCCAGGAAGAGCGGTCATGTGCTACAGCCTTGGCAGGACCAGAGAAGGAAAGTCCTGAGCTCTCTGGCTGTTCACATCAAGACCCTAGCTGGACAGCGGGCTCAGGACACATCATCCTCATGGCGGGAATCCAAGTGACCTGGAGACTCCCTGCTGGAGGACATTGTAGTGCTAGAAGTAGGCTTTGCCTTTAACACTGTGACCTCTCATGTGCACAGCACAGTGAATTTTTATCACATTTACAGATGAGGTGACAGAGTGGTCAAGTCACTTACCCCAGGGTAAGAAAGTGGTGGATTTAAAGCTCATCTCTTCCCCTTTACCATCTGGCTAACACTAACCACCCCCTGGCCCTGCAGCAGCTGAGTGGTCTTCCACAGCCCTCATTATTTTGTTGCTCATCTTCATGTGCTTTTCTTCCGGCTTATTCCTCTCCATTCTCTAGATCCTTCCCCTGAGACGCACTGCCGATGTTCCCCAAACAATATTAATCACTCACTCTTCTGCGTCCCTGCTGTACACCTGATATCAAACAAATGACTCCAAATCCAGGTATTTTGCAGATCTGGCTCTTTAACAGTACCCTAAGGGCAGGGCTTTGGTCTTACTTATCATTAACTTGCCTGAACTTGAGGTTCAATCAATGTCTGATGTTTTACTGCCAAGAAAATCACCCACAATTACAAACTGTACTTACTCATGGAGCTCTGCCCACTTAGAGAACTCCGAAGACTTTCTACAGATCCTCCGGCTTTGAGCTTGGGTTTGTCCATGTGCTCAGAGTCTGGCTGTACAGAAGCAGGGGAGCTGGGTGGGCCATCGAGGCCTGAGTCCTGAAATGGTTTCAATAAATACAAGTTTCATGAGTGGACAGGTTTTGTTTTGTAATTCTCAGCAACTTGTCAACTCTATCAATAAAATCCATTTTTACATTCATACTAGATTCTATGGTTAATATTCTCTTCCTTTTAAACCTATGTTCTTGCATAATTTTAAAGTTGTAAACCTGGTACTATTTAGTAAGCATTCAAAAGTTATTTTTCAAGTAAATATTCAGGTATAAATCTATCTTCCACATAGACAAAATATTTAAATAAAGGCTTAGGGACTCAGCATACTCAATAGTTCAGTAACAGACTGGACTTCAAATGTAGGTCGAATATAATCCTCTATTATTGCAGAGTATTATCAGAGGACATTTAATCTATTCTGAAGGGAAAGAGATAGATGGAAATGAAGAAAAGAAAGAAAGAAAAAAAGCATTCTCCTCGAAAAACAACTAGGCAGATTCTCATATTCCCATTTATATAAATCATTCAAATTGTCTAAGTAGTTAGCAACTTAACACCCAGATATATAGCAAAATATATGGTTTCGGTATTTAACAAAGTTACTACATTCCAAAAATCACTGGCACTCCCGCAGTGAGATCCACGGACACAAACTGAAGATGTACAGGCTCTGAATTCAAGTGGGGGCAGTGGGGGTGGGGATGGGGGCCCACCAATGGGTGCTGAGTAACTCAACAGGAAGATGCTTAGTGTTAAGCTCACTATGTCCACCAGGGGGCAGCAGCTGAGCAAAAATCTCTGTACTTCCAGCTGTTCTTTATTGGGTACACAAAGTGTCATTCCCCACCTATTTCAAGCAATCAGTTCATATACAGATACTTTAACAAGCTGCAGAATGAGTACCACAAAGGTTCCATAGTGGGGGCTGGGGTGGTGCTTGGAAATCCAATGGTCAAAATTGCCTCAAGGCCCAGCTCTCCAAGTGTTCTTTGAACCATGCAATTAAGACAGACACTGATCACGTTTCTGACAGTGAAAATTTTTATAGAGCTAGGAAGAAAATCAATTCTGTGATCTCTTCACGGCTATAGATAGGCCCAGTTAGTAAAAGTATCCCCCCCCCTTCTTCCCATGGAAGTCTCACATCTATCAAAGTCCCGTAGCCAGGAAGCATTTTCTGAGTTTCCTTTTCCGATTTGCTATGTGTTTCTAGAATAATCTATGCTATGTCTGGAAAGTCTGCTGTCCAGGTACACTTTTTGAGGTTGGACTCTGGTGAGAGCAATTTGTGTTCAAGTTTGCAATGCTTATTACACAAAAGAATCATCTCTTCTTTGCGTGGCTGTCTTTCCTTCTCTCTGGAGGCAGAAGGCAGGGCCTGTGTTTCATATTTCCAGCATGTTGCATAGTGCATGGACAACCCTAAGTGCTGAATAAATGTTTTATGAATTGAGTGTCTACGTAAACAAAGCATGGTCCTATGGCAGGTTAGTGTCAAGGAATGCACACTTAGCACCATTTAAACATCTCAGAGGGCTCATACTCAGCTTCCTGGTTTTCAGCAAGACCCAAGGGGCTTTCTGCTGGGTGGCCACAGACCTGCTCAGAGACGGAGCTGCTGTATTTTTTAGACATTCTCTTCCTCATTGTTTCTTTCACTGATTTCACTTTTTTCCCAAGAGAGATGCGGGAGGCAGTGGGCGATTTGATGACTTCCTTGTACACAAAGTCTCCTTCTTTACCCTGTGAGACAAAACATAAATACTTTCAGTCTTGGAAAATGGAGCCCAGAAACAGGTTTTACTATTCAAACCATTGATATTCTAGCTTTCAGGAAAGCACAGGCATTCCCTAGAATCTTGAAATTTTTCTTATGTTAACTCAGTCCTGTTATTTATCTTTTCAATTAGAAATTAAAACCTACTAGGAGGCTTTTTATTTGTTTAAAATGGGATGTGAGTCACTTTTTATTTTATTAAATCTTAGTACATTCTTCTCTGATTATGATTTTTTTCTATCATTTTAAACACACAGGGGAGCTCCATTTCATTAGTACAGAGGGATTTACATGAACCAATGCCCATGTAATCACAGCAGTGGGGGAGAAGGGAGGGATGATACTATAGGATCATGCTAGGAAAGTGCTACGGACACAGTAGTAGAAGCTCAGACATGAGAAATGCAACATCTGATTGGAGTTTTGTCACAGATGCTCCGTGTGGTCAATGCCTAGGAGTGCATAAATTTCCTTCCCTGAACAAATGGGATTGTGACCATCTCTCATTCTCTTTTTTTTTTTGCATTAGAAAATAAACTTACTCCAAGAAAGAAAAGAAAAATACTTTCTCTCATTTTTAAGAAAGATTGACTACATAAAAAATTACTGGCATATGAATCAATACAATTGGATATCCAAGTAAAATAGTTTTATCTTCCAGGAAATTCTCATTCTATATATCTCACAGATGGGAATTTTGGCTGATAATTGAGCACAACAAATATAAAGCTGACATTTTCATTTCATAGTTTCATTGCAATATACCTTAGGGACAAGCAAACTGTAGGTCAAACTTTAGGGGATAGAATTTTAATGCCACAGTGATGGCGTGGCCCTAGACCATGACCCACGGCATGTTCATGGAGCCAGTAAACCTTGGTGCTGAAGTGTTGGGCTTGCTTGGGTGCTAAGAAGACTGGGTTCGTTCTAGGGTACCCCACATCAGAAAGACCTAGGCTAAGTAGAGACCTTGGGGGGCCATGCTCTAAGCCACAGTCAGACTGCTCATTAGAAATGCCATCACCTACTGTCAGAACAGTCATGGGCCCCATTGAGTCTCACTACTTGTGTAGCTGTAGTTCTGTGCACCCGCAACTAGTGTAAAGAAAAGGTTTGTGGGTGCAAATGATGGGACCACAGAAGCCAGACTCATCTGGATTTGTTACTTGAGAAAAACGGGAAGCAAAGTCATTTAAGGAACTGAGCCCCTCTCAGGAAAGCCAGGGAGGCCAGAGGGGGGTGTCATCCCCTCTTCCGTGTGGACAGTGCAGTGCCTTGGAAATGGGTGCAGGAGGGCTTCTTTTCAAACATGCTTTGGGATACTGAGCAAAACCCAGGGTCCATTCTCAAACCCATCAACCACGTCCTGTGAGATCTAACCCTCGGCTTTCCTCTGGGGTCTACTCACCACGGGATCAGTGGCGTTACTGCCCACGTGCAGAGAACGATTTGTCAGGTCAAATCCTCCAAAACTGCAGGTTCTCTGTGGAAAGGAGGGGGCAGGGCAGGATAAACCAGTTATGCTAAGTCAGCTGAGCACCAGCCCACCCACGTGCCTTCTGTGGGACATCTCTGAATCACAAATACGGTACGGGATGAAAAGAGGAAACAAGAAATGACGAGGAGAAAAAAAAAAACACATGATTCATGTCATAAGAGAACTCCACTTACTTTGCCCTTCACACACCCTTGGCCCCCTGCCTGCACCCAAAGTCTAAATCCCCGAAACATGCAAAATACAATTGGATTTTTTTTTTTTAACAAAAAACTCTCCATAAATTTAGTGCTGTTAGGATTCCCTGATCTCAACATAGAACTTCCCCTTCCAATTCCCTCAACATCAGCTATGAACATCAGTGACAATAAAGGCATATCACTTAGTGGTCCCGGAAAACAGGTCTTTGCTGGGCTACTGGGAGCAGGCTTTCCTAAAAGGCTTGTTTTAAGTTTAAATGCTGAAAAGGGGAAGAGGGTTAGGTTTATGGTAGTCCAGACAGGCCAAAATTACTCATCAAGGCTTCCCTGTCCTAGCCAAAAACTCGGGTAACTTTCCCATCTAACTGCCCAGCTTAATTAATTCTAGCCCCTTTCTCACAGTGGATGAAGCAGAGGCGCACTTGCCCAGAGAGAGAAAGCCCGCTCCAGTGACTGTCTTGGACCACACTCTTTAATTTCAACAGGAAAAATGTTGATTTTATAAAAAAGGGTGAAAACTTTATCATCCTTTTTGTTAGTTTCAAACTTCTTGGAACTGGCTTATATTTCGGTGACTTAGTATTTCCAGAAATTAGGTCAAATTTCCGTTGTTTTTCTAGCAAAAGCCACTCAATAACCACTCCAGCTACCCCTATCCCCAAACACACTAATTTTTGTTGTAACTAATGAGTTTTTTTTAAAGCAGTGAACAATAAAAGCTGAATAGTGGATTTGGGCTCCAATATTTTGTATTACCTGTTTCTTAGAAAACTCTAGTTAACAGCTATTAAATGGAAGAAATGAACAGGAAAGTACAATGCATCTTACAAACATTGCCTATTTAATATAAATGTATTTTAGCCATGTAAAATTTACTACACTGAGAAAACAGAAGCATCCTGGGAAGGAAAATGACTTGGTTTTTGTAATTGCACAGAGGAAGACCCAAGTTCTGGTCTGGTCACTTACTTGCTATATGTCCACAGGTCAACTACTAGAACTCTCCAAGCTTTGAATTCTGCATTTAGTGAAATAATCTTTATATCACATATTTGAAGACCCCTAGCACACTGCCTGGCATGAAGCAGACCCTCTATGAATGCTGGTGTCCCCGGTTACTTCATTATGGCCATGCTGGGCACTTGGTAGCCTTTCCTAACCACTGTGATGCTGAAGTTCAGGCTTTGTCAATATCATATCATAAATCATACATAAATCATAAATCATAGCAATATCATCAATATGCAAATGAAGGGCTGGAGCTCCATTCTGGGCCTTACAATCTGAGAGCTCAATTGTAACACCAGAGCATGCCAGGAACAGGTCACAACAAGAGAGGTAGCTGTTGTGGCATAAGGCAGGGTAGAAAGAGCAAGGCATTTGGGGATAACTAATATTCAGGATGCCACAGAACAGTTTTTCTTCAGCAGAATCATTGCTGATAAAAAAAATCTACTACCAACTTGCTTTCCAGTGATGTAAATTTAATTTTGTTAAATATTAGTCAACCTGATTTCCTTTTTACTCAACTAGACTTCTGTGTAGTTCAAAAAAAGGAGAAAGAACTCTCTGTGCAAAGACAGCCACCAAATCATCCAACTGGGAAGTAGCACGATGATCATTTCTCAAAGCAAATTTTTTTAACATTAACTTTCCTTTCTGGTTTATAATGCCACATCAGTTTTCTCATTTTTGCAAAGGCAGCGACTTCACTCAGTTCCTTTCCTGTGACTCAGGGTTTCACAGACACAGTATGGCGCCCAGATGCCTGATTACTTTATGGCTTTTGCACGTCCCTGCTCTAAATGACATCTCCTGCAACTCTGGAGCCCAGCACGTTATTTCTGATGCATATGAAATAACGGACAAAGAATTCATGTGGAAATGATGACTGCAGTAAATTAGAAGCTCATTTATGTTTTCTATACACCCGTTGTATGCATTTATGCCTAAAATAAAAAGCTGAAAGAATGGGCTGGATTGCTTCCCCAACCAACTAAAATTCTTCCCAGTGATACGCTGAGATATCTGAAACACTGCTGCTCTTATCAATGGAGAACTGACAAAAATATAACAATAAACATTGCTTGAATGAATCTCCAACTTCTTCTAATAAGATCAAGTAGTCCTTGAAGCAGCCCCCTTCAAAAGAGAAAGTGAATTGTAAAGAGAATACAAGAAGAAAAATAAAACCATCTTTGACTTTGGCCATCTAAATAAAATTTAAGTGATTTTGTTTGGCTTATAATCTCTAGCATACATAATTATAAAACATTTTAGATAGATGCTTGGGATGAGGAGAGCTAGTCAATGGGATGGTCATGCAGTTGAAAACATGTTTTGGAGGCTGAATTTAAAATGGATAAAATTCCCAAATGTCATGCATGTCTGTTCTTCCAAACAAAAACTGAATGACCAAATAAAAAGGAAGACACGTGACCATTTCCAGTGAATACAAAGCATTACCATTTCCCTGAGGTTTCATCAAGCATATATGGCATTTTTGAAAGGCAAAAAAGATCAAGGCTAAAGATTAAAGGAAACTGTGCAACTCTAGGAAAAATGAAGGAAGTATATGGCAAGGAGAATGGAAGAGAACATTTCAAATGAAAGAAGCAAAGAAATAAGAATCATCCTTTACAAAAACAAAGCCCCAAGGCTGGGGGTGTAGCCCAACGACAGAGCGCCTGCCTAGCATGCACAAGGCTCTGGGTTCCATCTCCTGCAGGAAAAAGAAAAAAAAAAACACCTTCTATAGTGAAAACACATATTCTCTCTTACATTCTCTGCATTAAAATGATCCAGTAGTTTCTCAAGTTTATAGCATTTTGAAAATACCCAGCTCAGACTGAAAATTGGGACAAAGATTACACAGCACCATCTTGGTGGGGGATGCTCAGAGACAAGCTAGCCCCGATGTTCATCCTCAAAGTCAGTGAAAATTGATCGTTGGCCCACAATGTTAATTAACACAAATCTCAGAAATATAACTTCTTGAGAGACAGACCTGATCAAGTTCTATTATTAATCTGGCAATAAATGAGAGGCTCATGAGCAACTCAAGCTGTTCAAACTGGATAAATTCTCAGTACTATATAATTAAAACTCATAAGAGATGAGTCATCAATTAATAAGTGGCTTTGTTCCTTTGAGGTTTTATATAAGTATATATAGAGTAATCATACACACACACACATACACACACACACAAGAATTTTATAAAAGATCTGTGGGTCAGAGTAGACCAGAGGCTGAATGAGTGACAAAAGACAATTCTGTTATTTCAAAACAAAACCAACAAAAACTGTTGCCATGATGGAGAAAGAGCCAGAAGAAAAGCTTTTGCTACAAGACTAATAGTATTAAAAGTGTTGCAAGAAGCATACAAATGTGAAAAGATAGAAAATAAGATCTAGGAAGAAAGTCAATGCATGTGAGAAGAGTTGGAAAACCCAAGGGTGAGGAAGGATCCAAGATCCTTTCAGAACAGAGAAGGTCATTTTAAGGATGGCATTGACCAATCAGTCTTCATTTTCACAAAAGCAGAACTTGACTGAATGAATTTAAATTACAGTAATCGTCTGGGGAAGAACGTCCTATTCATGAATGTGAAGGAACCCTGGGAAAAGCCACCATCGAAGCATATCCTGCTGTAAAGGTTCTTTCAGACCTTTCAAAGGGGCCCGGAGCCAACAGCCCGGGTGGATTAAGCAAGGTGCCAGAGGACAGCAGTGCCAGTTCCTCCTCCCTCCGTGCCATTTCACATGGGCCATTGTGCAAGCTCAAAGTGAGGTGGTAATTCCAGGGGAAAAAATATCTATATTCTGAAGTTCAAAGTAATTCATGCCCAGAAAATAAATTGTACTAGGTAGGTCTCTCTGACCTTTCAGTGTTAAACTTGAAAAAACATTTTATTATTTGGACTCGATTCCTCATTATGTACGGAAGAGTCCATGTGGCATTAGAAGGCTTTACCAAACGTCAGTTCCTCTGTTTAACAAGATAAGAATGCTAAATCGACTTGAGTAAAGCAAAAGTGCTCAAATTCATTTTTTCCCCTGTTGGACTTCAGAACTCACCACCCGCACCTACAAATAAGAGAGATGGGCTTCATAGCGGTTTCCCATCGCCAATGGGTGGGCTGTGTTGATGGCAAAATTTCCAGGAGCCCGTGCCTATTGTTTTCATGAACTGAAAGAGTCAGCCTGCCTTTCCGAGGGCCAACTGCCCTTGTGTTTTGAATCAGTTTCTTTGAGGTCAAGTGACCTGATGGCTGGGGATCAGGAAGGCCACTCCTACAAGGCCGCCGGGGCCCCACCCCTGTACCCTGCATGCCCTTCTGGGCATCAGCCTCAGGATTGCATTTTAATGAAACATCCAACAGCTTCCCTTGGGCCACAGGAGAAATGGAAAGGGAGAAGAAAGCCAGGAGGGACCGAGAGCCATTTAGGAACTGGAGGTGATGGAGTGATGGACTCTGAAGGAAGGAGGGGAAGAGAAGGGGAAGAAGCCAGTCTCCAGAAAAAGAGAGGCCATACTGCCTGACTGCACCTCACGGAAATGACAAGGCCGTCCTCACGACCGCCGTGGAGACTCACAGACTTCTGGTGGATTCTCAAGAGAACCCTCTTAGTACAGCGGTCCACTGTGGCTGCCCACTTGCGCTTGGCCTCCTCCTCCTCCTCCAGCAAGCACCGCCTCAGGTCCTGCTTCTCGGCCTTGCTCAGGGTCCTGTCTGAGGCGGGCCGCACTAGCTGGGTCAGGTTCAGGTGGCTGTACAGGCTCCGCTCCACCACGTAGGTGACATTGAACTCGCTGACCGAGGCGCGCGCGCGCACCCTTCTGCCGGGGAAGCCGCAGCCGCCGCCCGCTTTGGGCTTGGGCCGCGGCAGCTGCAGGTCGCAGGTGGTGCCGTTCACGCCTCGTCGGGAGGGACGCTGGCAGAGAAAAGCTCTGGAACAGGAATAATTAGTATCCGTCTTCTTCAAGCGGATCTGCCTGCGGACACTCTGAACCTCCTCTAGGGACACCAGGAAGTGGTGGCGGCGGCGGTGGCTGTCATAGAAGAAAACACCGTCCGTACTTACCCCGTGGCTCAGGGACCCCAGGCCCTTCTTCATCTCCCCCTCGGTGAGGGAGCGCGACACTTTCTGGGCTTTTTCTTCCTCGGGATAGGAGAAGAACGTCCCCATCTTCTTGGGGGGCTTAATCAGGCCCCGACCCTCTCCTTTGCTGAAGGTTTTGACCAGCTTCCGGCCAGCTCCCCAGGTGTCCAGGCTGCTGGACGACGGGGACGTGGTGATCGAGTCCGAGTCATCTTCAGGAGGCTTCTCCGGAGAGCCATCGAAGAAAAAAGGCTTCTTGTGCACTCCAGAGTACAGGGCGGACCTTTCATCCAGGCCCGGGGAGCTCTCCAGCGCATGCTCCTCCCCACCTGGAGGGAAACCAGCACAGCCCCTGAGACCAAGCCTCTGCTTCCCCCCACGAGCTGTCCTTCCCCTCCCTCCCTCCCTCCCTCCCTCCCACAAGCTAGGTCCACAGTGATCCGCAGTGATCACAGCTCTCCCTGCCCATACCATGACTCTTCATAACCCCCCCACACACACACACACTTTAAATATGCATATAACAAAGAGAAATGATCACACCGTGCAAACGTGTGGCTTCATTCGAGCCTACTGTTAAAGGTGGGGATGTGTTTGCTTCTCCTTCTCTAAGAAATTCTGTAGGCCAAACATCGTCACGGATCTACTAAAAATGCCCTTTGCAAAATCCAAGCCGATCATTATCACGACACACTTTCCCATCTCTAGACAATCACGCCCGCCCCCCAGGTTAAGGGCAACCCTCAGAAGGTGGGAATCAGCCTTTCCCCCTTCTGAAAGGCCCTCCTTTACGTTGGCTCTGATGGCTTTTTATAGTTGGAGCCTGATGAATGCCAGGTGGCTGACAGTGATTTTTTTTTTCTTTTATAGGTACAGATTGCCATTTAAGTGATTAAATCTCCAAGAAATTTGGGGTGGGGAAACACCCCCAAGGGTGATATCTTGCAAATGTGGTTGAAAAATGGTCTTCAGCTGACTGGCCGAACACAAAAAGTTAGGGAACTGGATGATCCCAGCCAGATATTCCCATCCACTCAGACCCTGCTGAAGCAGGGCATTTAAGGGCCCTGACACGCAGGCAGCTCTAGCGAGTGTTCCACTTTGTCTAAAGGATTCCAGCCCATGAAGCCCTCGCTGGAGCCAGGTAGCAAGCCAAGCCCTCTGGAGCCCAGTGGAAAGGCTTGGACTTGCTGGCAGGAAAGCCGAGTTCTTTTCTGCATGTGTTATGTGAACAGATGTGAGGAAAGAAGTAGGTCAAGCTGTGGGTGTAGCGATCCCAACTGGCTGTGTCCCTTGAATTATAAGGAAATGTTGGAGCTTTGCAGCTTTCTGCCAGCTGAATAATGAACAGGAAAAAATACAAAGTTCCTTGGAACAGAAGGACAGCATTAAATATGCCAGCTGGGATGAGGGTGCTAGTGCCTAGTTAAATGTCAAGAGAAAAAGGGATAGGAATGCTCCCTTAGAGAGAGAGAGAGAGAGAGAGAGAGAGAGAGAGAGAGAGAGAGAGAGAGAGA